TTGTATCAGCACAGTAACACTTACATGAATCACAAACACAAATACAAACAAATAAAAAGATGAAATAAATCTAGCAAAAGAAACGGACAATATATATATATATAAACTTTGTATATATATTTTATTGCCTAGGAAATGTGACTAAAATATAAAAGGGAGTAGAAAATCAGACACAAGACAATTCACCAATCCTGTTGTATCCAAATTGTTAATTGCAAATGTTTAAAATAAATGGATATAATTTCTTACTGCTGTACAGATAATAAATATTAGAATAGAATTAAGAAATGGCAATGAAATGTTAGAAATAAGAAGTAGTAATTAAGAAATAATGATAAGTACAATAGTTGTAAGTCAAAAAATATGTAACTAAGTAAATTTGTAAGTAAATAAAATAAGTTTGTAGTATGTAGTGTAGTAATAGGAAAGCATAAATATTGTATGTGTAAAGCGCAAGTACCAGAAATAAATAAAATGTACGAAACTTTATTTCCCAGAGAAAGAAAAAATTAGGCATAGGGTAGCGGGAGTCCCACCCGGCAAAGAATGAATGTGGATGTATAAAAGAAAGAATAAGTATGCGGCCTGAAAGTGCGAATACATGCGAGAACTGGTATGTATGAGCAATATAGAATAATAAGGACCCGATGATCCCATGATCGGGGAAAAGCGATTAAAAACAAAAAAAAAAAAAAAAAAAAAAAAAAAACCTAACCTAACCTAACCTAACCTAACCTAACCTAACCTAACCTAACCTAACCTAACCTAACCTAACCTAACCTAACCTAACCTAACCTAACCTAACCTAACCTAACCTAACCTAACCTAACCTAACCTAACCTAACCTAACCTAACCTAACCTAACCTAACCTAACCTAACCTAACCTAACCTAACCTAACCTAACCTAACCTAACCTAACCTAACCTAACCTAACCTAACCTAACCTAACCTAACCTAACCTAACCTAACCCAGTCCGGTGCCAACTGCCGTCCCGAACGCCACGTTTCTGTGTTGCTCCGCGCTTTTAAAATCGTAAAAATAGGTTTTTCGCAACCGATTTTGATGAGTGATACATCAAAAGTTGCGTCTTTACTCGGGGTTTAATCTAGTGAAAACCGCAAGAAAATCGGAGTTTTAGTGAAAAAGATAGAGTGAAAAGAGTGATTTTTAAAAAGTGGCAAAATTTTAAAGTGAAACGCTGCGCGATTAATCGCCTTTACCCTTACTTTTTAAAGTGCGGCCTTCAAGCTACTCGCGGCCCCCACCTGTGTGCAAGAATTGAGATTTTTCGGAGCCACAGTCTCCGAGAAAAAGCCAAAAAAACAAGTGCCACGTGGGCACGTGTTTTGAGAAGCAAAGGCGTGCGGCTGTTTTTGAAGGCGGATTCTGGTAGCACGCGTAGAGAGCAGCCGGGAGCAAGTTTCAGGACAATTTTACGATAAGTGGTTTAAGAGATATTGACTTTTTGAAATTTAGAAAAAATTGACATTAAAATAACTTAAAAAGTAAAGTGAAGTCCCCCAATTATTATTTTAAAATAGTGTAAAGAAAAACATAAGGAATATATGTACAAATTTTTGGATTTTTCTAGTGAGCAGTTTTTCAGTTATAAATTTTTTAATATTTTTGGTTAACATGTGCTACCCCTAAAATAAGCAGTGGACGTCGGCGGCTACTTTTGAATTAATCCTAAGGCGGAGATTATTATCCCTAAACTTTGTCCGTTTACAGAATTCAAATAACTGTAACCGTCTTTGAGATATCAAATTTTTTGTATTTATCTTTTATTTTTTGCATGAATACAAAAAAAATAAACACTATTTTAGTTTTTATATCTAATATTCATAATCTATACTTCAGGAGCTTTCTAAAGAGCCCAAACACGACCTGTTCACCTGCTTACGTTCTCGAGTTGGACAATTTGAGTCTAATTGGCGGCCATATTGGAAAATGGTTTCATCAGTTAATTCAGAAACCAGTTGACCAAAAGTAACCGAGCTTGGCATCATTTTTGTCAGGAGAACCTAGCGGAGCTCATTCTTAAACTTGCGAGCACCTTACTATTAGGAGGCCGAAACCTCTGTCAACACTTAGAATACATAATTTCGTGTAATTTGAGCCCAAACTAGAAGGTTTTAGGATAGCAGGCAGTTAACCAAGAGCAAAAGAAAATAAAGTGCGGCCATATTGGAAATTTTCAAACGCCTATAACTCGGAAACCTCTCAACCGAATATAGCCGTGTTTAGGTTCAATCTATTTGGCTTGACAAAAGAAATCTAACCCACACTAATTTATCCCAATCGCGTTGGTTCTCAAAGAAACCGAAAAAGAAAAGTAAACTTTATTTTTTCGTAAATATGTCAACCAAATCTGTTACCTCAGCCACAGCATCTACCAAATCAAAGCCCTCCAAGACAAGCAGAGCCGCCAGTCCAACTCCCAGCTCGGCTCTGCGTAAAAAAGTTCTGATACAGAATGCATCCACATCTGGTATGACGGCAGAAGAAGTGCAACCTAGCAGAGGCTTCATTGTCAGCGAACTGTGCACTGATGCATCTAGCTCAGCCCGGACCAGCAAGAGTAATGAGGACAAAAGCGACCCAACAAAGCTGTCCAGCTCAGCAGCACAGGAAGAGGAATCTGACGGCAATAGTACGCAAGCACTTGATATGGAAAGGGAAATGGAAGCATTGGGCTTATGCAAGAGGATTCGCGAGACAGACGACGATTGGTCTGACGCCGACAGCATCATCAGTAGCAATAAGAGCAGAAGGTCCAGCATACTCCCACCAGCTTACAAGCGCGCGGGAATTTCAATGGACCTGGCCACGCAACGCGCCAATGAGTTTTTGCTTTCAGGAAAAGAAGCCCTCGAAAAGGCGGGAAACATGAAACGAGAATGCAAAAGTGAGGTGCATGACTCTTTGCAAGGCCTCTACGAGACGGTGCTGTCACTTTCGGACTCTCGCTCTCGTCACCGGCTAGCCCTAGAACAGGAAAAATCCCGAGCAGCAAAGGAACTAATTAGAGTCGAAAGGGCTCACAATAAACAATTGGCGGAAATCCAGAATACTCATCACGGCATGATTAAAGCTACTTATGAAGCCATTACAACTACAAGCAAAGCTGTTGAGGCCATCAGAAATTGGCTTAGTTACGAATTGGATGAGCCACTAAAGGCTATAAACAAAATTAATGTAGAAGTCTGTAGTTTAGCAGCTAAAACTCATGCCCCGCTACCTGCAATAACTTCAATAGCACATACTGACCTTGGCACTGAGAATCTGGCACATCTTACTAAGATGGTCATAGATATGGGCAAACAGCTTGAAAATCTATGTCTTTCAGTAAATGAAATTACCAGATCTCAAGGTGAAGTACAACAACCCGCCCAAACAGAATTAAAAGTACCAGAGGACCCCCGTATCCAGGATATAGTACATAAATTACAGGAAATGAAAGAAATATTACAAACACTAAAACCTAGGCCAGCTCTCAGCGAAACAACATGTAATATCCAAAAAAAGGACCTAGAAACGGTGATAAAACCTATAGCTGATATGATTAAAACGCTACACTCCGAGTTGAATGAATTAAAAGAATGTAGCACTGCGCAAACAGTCTTGCAAGGGAACTCAGGATTGGGTACTGAATTGGCAATCGCGGACATTAACGAAAAAATCCTGGAACTAAAACAAGAATACAACAGAACATACGCTAACATTCACAGAAACGAGGAACAATATAGCAAAATAACACCACAATTAGAAAGCGCAAAGCCAAATCAGACCTACAAACCCACATACGCAGAGGCAACAGCGACACCTCGATACGCCGTGGTCGTAGAGTCTATAGACCCGCGATCAACGTGTGACGAGATCTTAAAACAAGTTAGGTCAGACGTCGATCCCATAGAACTTGGTGTTAGGGTGAATAAAGTAACAAAATTAAAAAATCAGAGAGTGGTAATATGCTGTGACTCCCCTGAAGACAGGCAAGTTTTAAAAACAGCTATACGAGATTCATGTAATAAACTAACTGTTTCAACACCGCCCGTTAAACATCCGCAATTGCGCCTGATAGGAGTTACGAATGAACTTAATGATATGAAATTGGCTAAAGCAATCACGGCGCAAAATTCTAAGTTAATCACTGACCTCTCCGAAGAACAAAAATTAGTTAGAATTCTTCGCAGAACAAAAGGCAGAACCCGTGAATTAAGCAACATCATACTTGAAGTCTCTCCGCAAATGTGGACTCACTTAAAAGATAAAAAATTACGTATCGGATATCAGGTTGTCCCCTGCATCGATCAGTCCCCACTTACCCAATGCTACAAGTGTCTAGGCTTCAATCACAGAGCAAAGGACTGCACAAAAGAACTGGGTTGTGGCTACTGCTCAGGGGGCCATGATACTAGAATATGTACAAACCGGAACGCTGCTCCCGTTTGTATCAACTGCAAGAACCTTGGCAAAGAAAATGCAATACATCCAGCATATAGTCCTGAATGCCCAGAGTGGCACAAATGGGACCAGATAGCTAGAAGTTCAATCTCATACTGCTAAGAATCAGATGACACACATAATATAAAAGTTTCAAAGGGCCCTTCAGGCAATGAGAATGTCATCAAAATAGTCCAATATAACCTCGATCGAGGACGCGCGGCAACTCTAGAGTGTTTACGCGCAGCTACAATGAAAGGCTTTTCAGCGATACTAATGCAAGAGCCTTACGTTGGAGCCAAATCACATGTAACTGTTGGATCAAAGTACCGCGTTATACAAAAGATTACAAACGATAAATCCAAACCGGTAAGATCCGCAATAGTCATCACAGACCCAAATATTCAGTTTACTATTAACCCTAATTTATTAACTGAGGATATTGTAGGAGTTGAACTAAATATAGGTCACACTAATATAGGCTTAATTAGTATGTATTTACACGAAAAAGGAATAATCGAAGAAGACTTAAGTACGATCAAAAAATTCAAGGAAGTAATGAACACTGAAGATGTCATCATAGGAGGTGATGCTAATGCAAGCAGTATCTGGTGGGGTTGCAAGGCAGATGATAAAAGGGGAACACTATTAATGGAAACGGTAGCAGAACTCAATCTCGAGATACTAAACACTGGCAAATCTCCTACATTTAGTGCATATAGAATGGGTTCACTCTGCTCGAGCATAATAGACATCACATTATGCACATCCTCTCTGCTACACAAAATCTATAACTGGAGAATAGATGATTCTTTTGGCACCATCTCTAATCATAAGCCCATACTTTTTAACCTCGCTATATCAAACAAGCCACAGCAGAGAAAAATCAATAGTACCAGGAAATTCAACACGAGAAATGCTGACTGGAATAGCTTTAGAACAGAATTAGAGAAAGCAATAGATACAAAGGGTATCACCAAAGAAAGCATAGAAAAGGTAAGGACAATAGAAGATCTAGACAAAACAGTAGTAGATTATACAGAATGTATCTTGGAAGCCAGTAGTAAAACTATTCCTACAATAAAAAGAAAACAAATTTCTAAAGCAGCGAAATGGTGGAACGCGGAACTAAAAGAAAAAAAAGACGAAATGATCAGAATTCGTAGAAGAATTAAGAACGCACACCCTAGACGCAGAGACCATGTCATACAACAATACTTGATCGCCAAAGAAGATTATACAACAAGTATTGAAAGAGCATCCACAAAGAGCTGGAAAGACCTGTGCAATAAAGAAGAAAAAGAAACCATCTGGCAACGAACATACCGCATTCTAAAAGTATGTACAAACAGGGAGGAAGACAAACTATTAAGGGACCAAAACGGAGAAATCCTATCGGCAAAACAATCAGCAGCTCTTCTAGCTGAAACATTTTACCCAAAGGACAGTTGTAACACAGACACAGAAGAGCAGTCAGAAATAAGGGAAAGAGTAAAAGAACTCATTACACGGATTAATAACCAACATACTGATACCATGCGACTATTTACACAAGTCGAAATAGAACACATACTGAATAACATGGACCCAAAGAAAGCACCAGGTGAAGATGCACTTACATCAGACATATGCCAAGAATCTTACAAAAGCAATCCAGAACTTCTCGTTTCACTATACAACAAATGTCTGGAGTTGGGCTATTTCCCTCATACCTGGAAAAGAGCGACTATAAAAGTGATACCTAAACCGAGCAAAAACGACTATACTCAGCCAAAATCATATCGTCCCATCGGTCTCTTGCCAGTATTGGGTAAGATACTAGAAAAACTTTTCACAAACAGAGTACAATGGCAGTTGGGCAACGAAGAAAAAATGAATCGGAGGCAATATGGATTTACCCCACAGCGCAGCACGGAGGACGCACTCTACGACATTATCACTCTGATAAGAGAAGGACTTCGCAGAAAAGAGATAATAGCACTGGTATCACTAGACATAGAAGGTGCATTCGACAATGCATGGTGGCCTGCTATTATAAAAGAACTAGAAAATAAACGAGTCGAACCAACTATGCTAAGACTTATTACTAGCTATCTGTCTGACAGAGAAATCACCTTAAACTATGCAAATGAAACAACAAGCCTACCCACAAGCAAGGGATGTATCCAAGGCTCAACTTGCGGACCCATGCTGTGGAATATTCAATTGGATCCATTGCTACAAGCAACAGAAAACGCACCTGCGCATGTACAAGCCTTTGCAGACGACATATTAGTTTTAGCCTCAAGCAAGGATGGAGAGCAATTGGAGAAAGATATAAATAACACCTTAAAAATAATAACAGAATGGGGACGCAAGCACAAACTGAAATTTGCCCCTCATAAAACACAAACGATCATCATCACAAAAAAACTCAGATACCACTGCCCAAAGCTACTTATTGATGAAGTTGTCCTAACATACTCGGACCACCTAAAAATACTTGGACTCATAATAGATAAAAATTTGAACTTCAAGCCGCATATAGACTACGTCTGCTGCAAAGCCATCAACCTATACAAAATCGTATCTAGAGCTGCAAGAGCACAATGGGGCTTGAACTCGGACATTGTACGAACAATCTACCTAGCAGTAGTGGAACCCACCATCCTTTATGCAGCCAGCTGCTGGGCAGAAACTACAAATAAAAAGTATATTGAACGAATCCTCAACAGAATAACACGCATGTTCAGCATCCGTATATGTAAAGGACACAAAACTATCTCCCTCGTCTCAAGTGCACTTCTAGCTCAAATTATTCCATTAGCTCTACGAGCTAAAGAAAACGCGGAGATATACGAAATCAAGAGAGGTAAACCTATAAAGTCACTCCCAGGAAGGTGCCTAGAGACGAGAATTAGTCCATATCTTCTACCACACCCTGCTGACAGACGACAAAGAGACTTTAAGTTAATAACAACGCAAGAAGACATAGACAACATTAATAACAACTGGATAAATATTTATACAGATGGAAGCAAGATGAACAATAAGGTCGGAGCTGCAATTACGGTCTGGCAAAACGGTAAAGAAATCAAAACCATTACTTGTAGACTTGAGAGCTATTGCAGCGTCTATCAAGCGGAATTGATAGCCATCCTAAAAGCGATCAAATTCTTAATAGATAAAAAACATTCTCAAGCCAATATTCTAAGCGATTCCAGATCAGCAATAACAACCATCTGCAACGCATCAGCACTGAACCCCATCGCTGCAGAAATAAATTCAGAACTTAACATCCTAGAAAAAAGAAACGGGACAATAAATTTTTACTGGATAAAGGCTCATTGTGGGCTAATGGGAAACGAGAGAGCAGATGAGTTAGCCAAATATGCCGCTACAAAGCAGAGACCCGCATACGACTTGTTCCCATTGTCATACGCCAAGTACCTTACCAGAAGCCACACCTTGCTAAATTGGCAACACAAGTACGAAGAGGCATCCACCAGCGAAACCACAAGAACTTTCTTCCCGAGCATCACGACGGCATACAATATACTTAGACATATAAGCTTAACCAACATCATAACACAGTTACTAACCGGTCACGGTGGAAATAAAGCCTATCTTTACAGGTTTAAGTTGGCACCGTCCCCACACTGCACATGCGATAATAGCTCACACCAAACACTTGAGCATATAATTTTAGATTGCCCACGTTTTGGCAAAAAAAAGATACGAGTGCGAGTGCAGCATGGGAATGGACTTAAACTCTAAGAATCTAAGTTTAATAATGGCAGATGACTATTGCAGATCTTATTTTATAGGCTTCGCTCTCTCTATATTAAAAGTCATAAATAAAGAGAACGGAAGCAAAGTTATGGACTAGTTAATATACAATTTGATTATATTATGCGCAATAGTATAAGAATGTTGATACTGTATGCATATTTATATGTATGGATGTGGTAATGTATAAGTATGTATGAATCTATATATATAGGTATGTATGTATATAGGCGTATGTGAGCGTATGCATTTATATGTAATAATATAATGTCAAGGATTAAAATAGAATAGTATTGTGAATTAGTGTAAATAGAAAAAAAAGGAAAAAAAAAAAGAATGTAAAAATAACAGTAAAGCACTCCAGTAATACACAATGTAATCGTAAGTCATGTATATTCTAATACTAGTGTAAGGAAGATGTAGGATAATAATTAGCTATTGTATTGTATATTGTTCTGCATTTTTATTTGTATTCTATTCAAAACCATATACAAATGTAAATAAACAATAGTGGAAAGTTCGAATGTTATATAGATTAAGATATCTAGAAATGTATAATGCATGATATATGTAAGATAATAAGGTCTATGCAATAACTATGTAAAATTATAATAACGACACGACCGGACAAAAAAAAAAAAAAAAAAAAAAAGCAGAAATATAAAAGGCGAAAAGAATAACATAAACAGAAAAAAAGAGTACCGCAGAATAGTGGT